CCCCCCCAGCCCGGCGGACGAGGTCTGGAGCCTCCGTCCGCCGGCTCCCCCCAGCCCCCCTGGCCCCAGTCCAGGCCGGCAGACGAGGCCTGGACCCTCCGTCCACCGCTTCCCCCCGGCCCCTGTCCACAGTCCAGGCCGGGGCCCCTGTCCACAGTCCAGGCCGGGGCCCCTGTCCCCAGTCCAGGCCGGGTCCCCTCCCCCCCTCCTTTTTCTCTCTCTCCCCTCCCAACATTCTCTCTCTCACCCACTCTGTTTCCCCCCTCTGTTTCTCTGCCCTTCTTCCTTCTCAACTATCCTTCCTCCCATTCACTCTCTTTCCATTTCTGTCTTTCTACCCATCTACCTTCCTTCCTTCCTTCCTTCCTTCTTTCCTTCCTTCCTAGCTTTCTCCCTTCCTTTCTTTCCAAATTACTACCATTAACCCCACTCTGTCTCCCCCCCTTTTCTCTCTTTCCCCCCTATCTAACTCTGTCTCTCTCTCTCTCTACCTCCTCTTCTCCATTCCTCCCTTCCACTCACCCTTCCTTCCTATCTAGGGCCCGTCGTCTACCGCCACGACGGGCTTCCCTTACTAGTTAATAATATATCAGTAATAACAAAAAAAATGCCCACATTTGTACTGAGTGCCATTATTGCAGGACATTAATGTTTGCATAATATTGGGGGGAAATCAGTCCCTCAGCTGTGAGAATGAATAGAAAAATTGTGAAGTTTGATCTACATGATTAAGTTAACACTTGGTTGAAATTAAAAATATACAGATTTTGAATAGATGGACAAAGACGTTTCACTGTATGAATAACCATAGAAATGCAATGATGTAATTTTGGCTTCTATTTCTATTCCTTTACTATAGTCTTGTATTATATTGATTGATTTATATTTGGAATAAAATGTTATTATATCTAATTCTGTATATTAAAATAAAAGCTTTAAGAGAATGAAGTGTCTACTTTTCTAATGTGTGCCAAAGATCAGCTGTCCAGCCAGTGCCTTCAAGTTAAAAAGCAATGCTCTCTGTAGTGAACATAATTTTTTTGGACAGTGAGGCTGATATCCATTTAGGAGATCATGATTCATTAAACAGCCTTCAGTTGTTTAGTTGGAAAGGGGTTAAGGGGGAAAAAACACAAGAACTGATGGTGAGTGATCTGTCTACAAGGATCATCTAAGTAAGGCTAATTTCTCTAGGCCCCCCTATCTCCCAGGAATAATGTTTTGTGCAGGTTGTGGGCTTCAGTGGCAGAAGAGAGGTAGGAAAGTTCCAGTAAGCCACTGGAAAATTTCATCTGGTTCCAAGCCAATGCTGGTTAACAATACTTATTCTTTTAATTTCCAGTTGGCAAGATCACCAGGAGAAGTGTGTTTTCCAGGAGGCAGGAGAGACCCAACAGACACAGATGAAATAGCCACAGCTCTCCGGGAAGCCAGAGAAGAAGTGGGGCTTCACGCAGAACAGGCTGAAGTAATCTGTAAGCTTGTACCTGCAATAGACAAAGTAAGCTTCCTTTGTTCAAATCATTCTTGTAAATGAACGATAAATTGTGAAAACATACGACATGGTACCTCCATGTGAAGACATTCAGCTCTCAGGGGCTGTATTCGTTGATTTCTGCCTGATTCACCAAATACCCAAGCTGCATTTTTTAATGTTTAATGAGCTGTTAGCATCTAAACTGTAGCCTTTTAATGTCAAAGGACTCCATTAACTGTAGCATTCATAATGAAGTTACAATAGTCTACATTCCAAACAGAATGCAAATCCAAAGCCAAGCAGTTTCCCCTAGTTTTTAGCAAGAGCCTTAAGTTTTACTTTCATAATAAAAGTAGTGTTTAATGTGAGACAGTGAAAGAAACAGAGGTTTCTAAGCCACTTGCTAGCTGGGTATCACTTGTAAGTTAACACAGCCATTAACATGGTCAGCTATGGAGTTTAAGAACATTCATTCTTGGCTCTCTTGTTAAAAATTTCCTGGATGGAACTTCAATCACTGCTTGCAAAGTAGCTTGTTGTCCTGAACTTGAACAGCAATACTCATTCCATTCTCATCCATGCAATACTGAACAAGGGGTTGGATGTTGCCAGCTTTGCCACTGATGCAAGATGGAAGAAAGGAAAGGCTCCTTTTGAAACCCTCCCCCCCCCAAAAAAAAGGTAGGCCCCGTTGAAGACACAAGCTTCATGAAGCAAAGCACCCGTTCTTTCTCTAGGGCCCACAGAAATGCTGGTAGAATCCTACCCATGAGTTTTTACATGCTCCCCCAACTTTCATCTGAATGTCTCAGTGTTTAAGGGGAAATAGCATGAAATATAAGGTTTTCTTCTTCCCTTTGAAAAATGGGTGCTCAGGACTGAACTGGTGTTTTGTCTTAAACACAGAAATATTACTGTGTGCCAAATTTTATTCTGATATTAGTGTTTGCAACAGTGTTATTGTATTACAAGCAAAGTTCAACGTGGAATTTCATGCAGGTAAGCCAAAGCCCATTTGGTTAAACCAAATACCTATTTAGCTAGGCCAATGAAACTGTAGTTCAAATGTATATAATTCCAGTTTTCCGTCACAGGCTATTAATGATATGAGCTTTAATTAAAGGTATTTCTTCCTTATTTTCACACAAGTGGTCGTCAAGCAATCGTCTTTCCTATGAGTCTTGATTGTTTTTATTGCCCTCTTTCTCTGTGTCGAGTTATATGGGTATAATATGGGGATCTTTAGTAGATAGGTGGGTGCACAGTAGAGTTGCTAACCACCAGGTGGGGTCTAAAGATCTCCCAGAATTACAAGTGAGCCCCGGGCTACAGAGAGTTCTCCAGGAGAAAATGGCTGCTCTGGAGGGTAGACTTCATGGCACCTTCCCCAGGCTCCTCCCCCAAATTTGCAGGGCTTTCCCAACCCAGAGCTGGCAACCCTAGCACTGCACAGTATGACAGTTATGATCATAAACTTCAGTTAATGTATTAGCTGAACTCCTGAAATCATTGCATTGAACTGAGACACACACACCCCTCCAAAGTAAGCCGTTTGAATAGGGCATAAGGAGCAATGTATGAAAGTAACAAGCCTTAGAAATCTTATTTATTTACATGGGAGATTGTTATGCTGCATTTCCAGAGTTATGCTGCCTTTCCTCAACTCTAGAGAGAGGGCATAAATCTTGGTAGATCTACAGACCACCCCTCAACACTCATCTGTTCTTTCTAAGATCCCAGCCAATGCACATCTGAGTTGACGCATTCATAAATGCAGCAATAGCTTCTACATCAGTGAATCAGCTCTGGCCCATCTTCTGTTTGGATATAGGTGAGCTGGCCAGAGATTTCATCTTCAGTTCCATTATTCTCGCTGATAGCAATTTTTTAATGTAAAACACAGCACAGCCACTAGCACTGTTCTTCTCTGGCAGTGCACAATCATGTTCATACATGCACACACATATACTGATGTCATTAGAATTCTAAAACAGTGGGGATGATATATAATTATTTCTTACAAGTGGACATCTTTATCCTTAGTGTTTGCTCGTGTGACGGCTTAATACCATAATCCTTCAAATGAGAAGTTTGTTTTACTGTTTGTTTCAAATAGTAATGTCTAATGCCTTTTTCCTTTTCAGACTCGCTCTATAGTAACTCCAGTAGTAGCTTTCATAGAAGACTCATTCCAAGCCCATCCTAATCCAGAAGAAGTCAGTGATGTATTTTATGTGCCACTGGACTATTTTATTCATCCTTCAAAGTATAAGGTCCACCAAGTTCAAATGCTGGGAAAGGGTGTTCCAGTACACTTCTTTGAATATGATGATCTAGAGCGTAATACCTCATATAAAATATGGGGACTCACAGCACACTTTACTGTCTTTATTGCTCTTGCAATTTTTGGAGAAAAACCAACATTTGAAATTGACTATGATCTTGATAATTTGATTTCTTCATCTGAGAACAATTTCATGGAATTATATAATATAACAAAGAACAAACTTTAAGTTGTGAAATTATTACTTTTAAAAGAAAGTATAGAGTATAAATCAGGTACACATGGTGCTGTAAACATTCCTTTAAATTAACAAATGTAAATTGAAATGAGCTTTACAATTTTATGAAGCAGTTTTGTATGATTAATAAATTAGTGCAGACTCTTTCAGCAGACCATAAACAGTATATGGACAAACTGATAACATTAAAAGAAACTAAAGATGCAATAAAACAATTAAAATTTAATACTGCCTCAGGCAATGATGGATATCAACCAGAATTTTATAAAATTTACAGCCCTATTCTGGCTGGGCCGTTAACTGAGGTTTGCAATTATATTTTAACTAAAGGTAGGGTGCCATTAACTTGGAGTGAGGCTAATATAGTGACAATACCTAAAGAAGATAAAGATCCAGAGTACCCGGCCTCGTATAGGCCAATTGCTCTGTTAAATTGCGACGCTAAAATCTTCTCTAAAATTATGGCAAATAGGCTTCAAACTATCATAGCGAGATATATTAAGGTTGACCAAACAGGATTCATACCACAAAGATCCATGATGGATAATATAAGACGCACTTTAAATATAATCAGCTATTGTGAGAAAAAGAAACTAGAAAGTCTAATTTTAACTGTTGATTTGGAAAAAGCATTTGATAGTGTAGAGATCCCATATTTGCTGCAATTATTATCTCTAATGAATTTTGGACCAAATTTTCAGAATGCAATTAAGATGATTTATGTGCATCCGACGGCAAGAATTCAAATTAATGGTTATTCAACAGAAAAGATATATTTGAAAAGGTGCACGCGTCAATGCTGCCCTATGTCACCACTTTTATTTGCCCTGGCTATTAAGCCATTGGCAGAAGCTATACGAATTTCATCTGATATAACAGGTATTAGTATTAATGGAATATCTCACACGGTTAGCCTGTACGCAGACGACTTGGTGATTTACTTTTCTAATCCAGAAAATTCCTTAAGGAAACTGCAGGAGATCTTTAAAGACAGCAACCAGATATCAGAACTTAAAGTAAATTTGCATAAATCAAATATAATACCAATTTGGATATCATCAAAGCTTAAAGATACACTGCAGGAAAGCTTTCCTTATGTCTGGAAAGAATCTGAATGGAGGTATCTAGGAGTTAAAATTCCTAAGAACTTAAAAGACTTATTTAAGTGTAATTTTGTACCCTTGTTTCAAGATGTTAAACAGCAATTAAAATGCTGGAGCAGACTCCTGGGCAGATAGATTAAACTTAAAAGCTTCATACTACCAAAATTTATATTCCTATTCAGGGCTCTCCCTATAGACGTTCCGGCAAAAGAATTGAATAAATGGCAAGGTACTCTTAATCAATTTTGGGGGGCTTATAAGACCCCGAGAATAAAGTTTACAACATTAGTTAGACCAAGTCTAAAGGGGGGATTGGACCTCCCAAATTTAACTTTATATTATGAAGCAATTAATTTGGCAAGCACTGCAAGTATACTTTCAGATACCATAATAGGTAATTGGCAACAAATTGAAGAATCCTTTTGTGTACCGCTGCACCTGTCAGAGTTATTTTGGAATCCCTCAAAATTCAGGCCTAAATTGCTCTGAGAAAATGTTATGCTACACAATTCTATTAAGATCTGGGATAAATATAGAGCTAAACTCTGCTCAGAGATCTCACCAATGGCGACTTTTTAAAACCAACATTGGTTTTCACCTGGACAGGAACATTTGGCTTTTGCACAGTGGAAAAAAGCTGGTGTGACTCGCATAAAAGATTGAGTAAAAAGGAAGTCTACGCTTAGCAAAGTAGATCTAGAAGGTAAGATTGGGGTAATGATCACTTGGTATAGATACTTACAATTTAACCATATGGTGTGCTCACTGATACAGGCGCAGACTTTTTCATGCCCTCTAACCTCGTTTGAAGTTCTCTTGGAGAAAGGTAAAGGAGAGAAAAAGGGTGTGATCTCCAAAATATATAACATATTAATTACCAATAAGTGTGCACAAAAAAATAAACTATCAAATTTCACGGAACTTGGATTGTCAAAATAGAATAAAGGAAGAAGGTGGGTCAGAAATCTGGAAATCCCCTAGTATGTCTTCCAAAATATTTGTGATACTTTTTAATTCGTTTAAAGTTATTAATAGATGGTATATCACCCCGGTAAGAAGAAATAGAATAAATCCTAAAGCCAGCCCTAAATGCTGGAAGAATTGTGGGCAAATGGGAGATTACTTTCATTGTTGGTGGCTTTGTCCCATTATTAAAGCTTTTTGGGTACAAATTTTTGAACAAATTAATATAATTACTGGAGTTAGCCTACCAGATTTGCCGCAACTTGCGCTTCCTTCATATGGACTAAACTCATTGGGAGGTTTGCTTACAACCAAATTGATTTCTTATTTGTTAGCAACAGCAAGAACGATTATTGCAAAAAAAATGGAAAGATGCATCAAGCCCAACTCTTTGTATGTGGCAGAATAAGCTCTGGGAGCATTTTATATTGAGTAAAATTGCGAGCTATCCCATAACGAATAATATACATAACTATCAAAGAGATTATCAAGCCTTTTGGTCTCCTGTAGTGGACTATTTATCAGGAATTAATATAATCCCGGATAATGCATACTATCGAGATCTACTATATTTTTGAAGTGTTATTACTTTAATGTTCATATGTTAGCAGTTTTTATAGCTCTTCATGATAATTAGTATGGTTGTTATGTAATATTTGTTATATTTACTAATAAAAACTTTTTTAAAAAAGCAGTTTTGTATGATTGATCTCATAATAGGATTGCAGAAAATAAGACACTGGTCATTGCTCCACAGACTCCATTAATGTATTTTGTAGAATATTCTTCTCAAAAGGGCCAAAAGTCCAGCTCGAATATGTTTCTTCTCATGTTACACTTTAAAAAGCATTTCAATATTAAAAGCACATGACAGGGTGTACACCAAAATCTGATTTATATTTGTTTCCAGCTTGTTTTGTTTAGGAAATTGGTTTCTTTATTCTTTGTTCCCACCAGTTTCAATGGGAAGAACATTTCAAATGGTAACTTTTTAAAATTTTCTATCCAGGGGTCGTTTTGTAGAAAAAGAGCTAGGGGAACTCATTAGCATAACTCATTAGCATATGTCACATACCCTGACATCACCGGAAGTGTGTCATAAGGCCACACCCCCTGACATCACCGGAAGTGTGTCATAAGGCCACACACCCCGCCCCCCAACGGTCCCGGCCGCTGCCGGCCTTGCGGTGGACCTGCAAGGCCGGCAGGAGTGCAAGGAAGCCCCGCGAAGGCCTTCCCTGGCCCCAGGCAGGCAGGGGTGGGGAGAGGCAGGGAGGAAGCAACTTACCCTCCCTCTTCTCCTGCCTCCTCCTGGCTGAATGAGGGCCGGAAGCGGGGCGGCCGGAAGCAGGGGGCGGGGCTTCATCATGTGCCCCGTCCCCCGTACCTCACCCGGGGGAACTGCGATCCCTTGCGACTCCCCCCGAAATGACCTCTGTTTCTATCCGATATGACCTGTCACTGAGGGATCTGCCCTTCAAAATACCAAGCAATAGAAGAAGGTACCCATGTTTTACAAGGCTATCCTGGTGGCAGTCTCAGCACAGGAGGGCTGGATGATATTGGTATGCAAGTAAGGTTTTCCTCTAAATCCCCAAACAAGGGGAAGGGTGTTAAAAACAGAGAATGTGGACAAAGAAAGCTAAGCTTGCTCCTTCCTTCCATCTTACTTCACCCTGTGTACAATCTTCTTGCACTGTTCTCCCCACTGATTGACTTCTGATATCAGCCAAACATCGGATTAAACCATCAGAAGGGACAGGGTTTATCACATCTTGTACTTGGCTATCTGTTCTTAAGTATATACTGTAGTCAAAGCAGTTGCCCCTGGACTGAATTATCACTGAGCAATTTCTGTCTTCCTTCCCCAGTTTTTGTACAGAGTGCAGGTTAGAAATTGCTTGGTTTTTCCTGAGCCTTTTTTCTAGTTTACAAAATAGGTATGATTTATATAAAACTATGAGGGCAATGATTTTTCAGCCAGAGATAGTGGGTGTAAATAATTCATTTTTTTAAGTTGGGATGTTGGAAATGCATATTAAAATAAGCTGCTCAGCCTTGAAGCTCATTGGGTGGTTTTGGATATGTTGTATTTCTCACCCTAATCTTCTCCTTGGGGTTCTGACAACAAAATGGGATCACATAACCTTCTGCATGTCTACCTGAGGTCTTTGGGAGAAGAATGGGTTAGAGATATGACTGACTACATTTGTAAATTTACATCGTCAGGCACAACTGGCCTTGCAAACTTGATTGAATTTGCAAGGTTGTTCCGTTAGACATTTAATATACACAATAACTATATACATGGTACTTTTTCAATCACTTGGGTAAGGTTTGTACTTTGTGAAAAAAGAATATGATTGATTACTGCTAGTATTCAAATCATTGTTCCTCATGTGAACAATGAAGTGAAAGGGTGTATTTAGTGATTTCCAATTACTGTGTGTGTGGAGTGGGGGAGGCAATGAATTTTGAATTTCTCTTGTGTCCTGTCTTGATCATTCATACAACAGAATTAAATATGCATTTTTTTTGCAATAATAAGCAACCATGGTTTCAGCACTTTTATGTTTAATGCAGGTAATATTACAATTTGCAAGCTAGCAGTGAGGCCCTCATTCTACTCACTATTGATCTTTCTGTATGTCCAATGTACTTTTTTCTGGTTTTGAAAATGGGATCTGTTTTTTTTTTTAGTAAACAACTACACAAAGGTATTCTGTTTGTATAACAAAAGAACAAGATTTTGCACTTTGCTTTTGTTGGGAACACCTGTTGAGAAGTAAATATGAGGGGGAAATCCACATACTAAATGGCAACTTCAAGGAAAGTTAATGACAATCTCCACAATTAGTTATCAAACATAGAATCATTTACAAACTCTTACAGGAGGGGGCAGGGAACGTCATAGTGAATATAAGA